TAAATATTTTCTAATCTTCATATGGACGGTATGAAATGCAGGAATGTATCCAAGTGAAGTTAAATCAAGGTTTATTTCTACTTGTGAAGAATCCACTCCAGCAAGAAATTGAACTGTGAACTATTGCATCTGAAATTATAGGACTCCCCAGAGAGCTGGAAGGGAGTCTGCAGGTTCTGTTATCAGTAGGCCCAAGATCTCTGTGCTGTACTGTAATGCAAAGGTGTGTGCTCCTTAGGTCTCCTGTACACTCGAAGGACTTGTTTCAGAATACTGCTCAGATCTTGGTGTTCTGAGTTTTCTAAAGAATAGGATATGTTTGAACATAGAATTTCTGATTTTCTAAATGTTTTAAAATAATAAAAACACTGTTCTGGAATGTCTTGATAGGAAAATAGAAGGTTCTAAGCTGCAAACAAATGTGGGAGCTTGCAATTGTAACAGTATTAGCTGAAAAAAGAGAGAGAATAAACATTCAAGGAAAAGTATTTTATTTCATGTTTTGCTTAAAGTGGAAAGAGGCAAAAGCAAAGAACAGACAACCAGACTGGGTGTCAGGAGGCTGAGGAGGTACGAAAGGAGTTTTCTGAAGCCTCAGGTAGAGATATCAGATACAAATCAGAATTGGAGATCTTACTCTAAAACAGAATATATTATTTTCATCCACATGCATTGGAGTTTCATTTATTGGAGTTCCATTAACTGAACCCACAGAGAACACAGATGCAGAAGTTATGACTATTCTGTTAATTTTGCAAGCCTTTGTAACTTGATTATTTTCAGTCTTGTCTGGATGCACAGTACTAATGGATTATGGTTTATCATGTACAAAACAATCCTCATGTTCTTGTAAAGTCAGACTTCTTAGCAGAATATCTCAGCAACCAGAGCTATGTAGGAGAGTCCAGGTAAAATATGATGAAGTTATTTTTGACAGTCTTTAATGAAAAATGTTTTTATGAAACTTAAAACAGCAGCTAGGAAACACAAACATATATTCAAGTTGATGAAAGCTAAGTAGGTAAGCCCTCTGACATCACATCTGATGTTCTTTGATATAACAAGAAAAGAAGCTTCATGCTTATGAAAACCGTTTCCAGTAACATATAAATGAATTGCAGCGCTGCTTTGTCAGTTCCTTTTGACCTGGTGAAACACACACAAACGATTCATTTTGTTTATTCTGTAATGAATGGCTGCATTTGTGTGATAATAACACTCTAATCAACAACGTTGACTTGTGGAATGTTAATAAAATATCCAGTAAGCGTGTTTATTTCAAGCAAAGCAGAAGTATTCATGATTTCATCTTTGGAGCAATGTGAAGATGCTTTTATTGTAAAATGTAGGCCTGGTCACCTTAGACCTGCA